GATGCGGATCTAGTGCGCACTAGATAGTATCTAGTGCTCACTAGATACGGATCTAGTGCGCACTAGATAGTATCTAGTGCGCACTAGATACGGATCTAGTGCGCACTAGATAGTATCTAGTGCTCACTAGATACGGATCCAGTGCGCACTAGATACGGATCTAGTGCGCACTAGATCCTATGGATGGAGTGTTGTGGCGAATCAGCACATGGCTCATTTAAATATTAAAATTAGGCATGTGTTAATAGGTCAAAACACGAAAATGTAACCAATGAAATTACTTATTTTGACACACATTTTAAGCCAATACTTACTACTATCTAGTGCGCACTAGATACTATCCATATTGTGGTGAATCAACACATGGCTAATTTTAATATTCAAATGAGTATTAAACTAATTTGTCTGTAAGTAAAAAATAAATGTAAATTAATCTGTAACCTTTTTGTTACAGTCCGCATTTAAATGCCTGTCCTCCTTTTGAGAAAATAACAAAACAGTCCACCTTTTGACACATTACCTTGTTAGTTTAATACGTATTGGCTTAAAATGTGTGTCAAAATAAGTAATTTCATTGGTTACATTTTCGTGTTGTGACCTATTAACACATGGCTAATTTTAATATTTAAATGAGCCAACCTCGATCCATATCTAGTGCGCACTAGATACGGATCTAGTGCGCACTAGATACGGATCTAGTGAGCACAAGATACTATCTAGTGCTCACTAGAAACGTTTCATTTTTTTTTTTTCATGTCCCTTTAGGGGCTCCGTACTCTAGCACCATCATCAGGTCGAAATTTCACGCAATACTTTTATCAAATACCAGCAAAAAGACATTTTCATCATCAGCCTCTGTTAAACTGTTTGTTTGCTGCTAATTAGCACATTGGCATGTTGTTGATTGGGAGCATGTTAGCATTTAGCTCAAAGTACAGCTGTGTCTGAATACCACCTCACATGGCTGCTGACTCACGTTCATGTTTTGTATTGATTACATGCTCAGATCGTCCTTAGTTTTAATATTAGCTGTAGTGTCGGGGTATAGAGCTCTGATGGATGTGCCAGTCGGCCCCTCACACATGTGCACACACACACACTTGCTTTGAAGGAGTGACGTTACTGTGTAATGAGATCAATAAGCAATCACTGGTGTGGTCTGGTTTCACAGTGCATTGACAGGACCCCCTGATACGCTGATTGGGAACAATTAGCATCAGTGAGCAGCGCTAACATGGTTTTGAGTGATGAGGGTGATGAGTGCATGTCTTAATTCACATGTGTGATTGTGTGGGTGGGTGAGTCATCATCATCCAGCCCAGAAGTCCCAGGAGTCCCCCACCCCCCTCCCCTCCTCTCTCTCTCTCTCTCTCTCTCTCTCTAGCTCTCTCTTTCCCTCTCTCTGTCCCCCCCCACCCCCATACACACTCTCCCTCTCTCATAAACACACACAGGCAAACTATGCATACACAGGCAGCTTTGCCAGATACATTTGGCAAGCAAGCTGTGTTGAGTGGGGTCACTATGAACCAATTTGTATAGAAAACATGAAGTGCTGGACCATCAGTGAAGCGATCTGCGTTTACTGCACTACGAAGATCTCAACAAAATTAGGCTACTGAGCAAAAACACAGTAGAAGCAAATTGACTTCAATAATGAGCCTTTGTCAGAAGCCTGAAAAATGACATGCTACAACAGGGAGCATTGATTGAGCATGATGGCGTTTAAGATAAGATGAGATGAAAGGAGTTCCCACAGATCGTCTAACCTTGTCTTATCACAGCAGAGATGGGAAATACTTAAGTATTTTATTGTATAATTACATTTGGGGAATTGGGTTGTGACAATTTGATCATTTAATGTTATCGTTTTACAAATGTTGGTTTTTCCAAGCAAATTGCAATGAAAAACTTTTTTGGTTTACATCAGTAAAAATATTACTAGTGAGAGGTAAGGTGAGATGATTTTTTTGTTTTTACTTCAATCATTCACATTATATAGTAATTCATTATGGTAATGTAATAATAGAGGAACTATTCCTCTCTCTCTCTTTCTCTCTCTGTCTCTTTTTCCATATATGTGTCATGTCCCTCCCTCCTGTCTCTTTTTCTGCCTCAGCTGGGCTCTAGTAAGAACAGTTGCTGGCCAGTAGGGGTTTTGGTCTGGCTTGCTGGGTTCTTCAGTACTGGAGTGTCTGAGTCGTGACAAACAGAGAGCTTGTGTGTTAATGTGTGTGTCGGTGCACGTGTAGGCACTCGTGTGCCTCTGTGTGTGTTCAAGTGTGTGGGTGTGTGTGTGTGTGTGTGTGTGTGTAAAGATAGACTCACAGACCTTTTGTCCTATTTGGTATTATAGCGCAACATAATATGCAGTCGTTTGGTAGTCTAGTTTAAATAAGAAGCCACAACAAGGTCTACAAATCCTGTTAACAATCCCAAATAGTTTCACATTGACAGAGTGGACTTCATGTAAAGTACTTTAAAAGAGCAGTTTGAGGAAAAAAGAGGATGTCAAAGTACACACATTTTATTTCCATGTTGTACCTGTGGTGGATTAAAGTAGTAATTTTTGTACAATGCAAAACAAGGATGTTTTCTTTAAGCCTAGAGGGCTGCCAAATAAATTTCTTTATTTATTTTTAGCTTTTAGGCAGTTATTTTATTTTATTTTTTATAAAAGTGGGTTACATCTGAAAAGCTATGTGATTATGGTTTTGAATGGTGTCTGTATTGTTACAATAATGAGACTGATGAAGGGCATGTAGCACAAGACTTCATTTAGCAGTAGACCGAATTACTGTAACTCATTTATAACATGAATAATAGACTGCAGTGTTTCATGTTTCTTACGTTATAGTGTAACGTCTGCTCAGTAATGCCTCTCTAGGACTATGCTGATAATTTGTAACTGATTGTTACAAATTAATTGTTTTGTGGTGTGTAGTATGACCACACTTGGATCACTGGTACTCTCTTGATAGAGTTTTAGTGTTTTTGGATGTTTTAAAATTCCTGCATGTTGCATGTTTTGGTGTCTGTGTTGTGACCTGCTGAGGGTGCAGTCCGTCCAGTGCATGCTGGGATGGGATCCAGCATCCTTTGAACCTGAAAGATTTTTGTGTAAAGTGAATATAACAAGATTTTCTCTTCTGCCATTAATTTTGTTAACTTTTGTGAATTCAGAGATAATGTGTGTCCATTCCAGTTATTTATTTAAAAAAGTAACATATCACCATGATTATATAAAATCATCAATGTTTTTAAGTCAGATGCGTTTTTGCTCAGCTTTATGTTAAAATGTATGGATTTAACACATTAAGGAGTCTTCTCCCTGTGAACAGTTTTAAGTTCAGCATACCACAAAAACACCCCTGAGACTAGCAGTGTTCAAGTAAACAAAAAGAGCTCCCCCTGCAGGCGTGTGTGTGTGTGTGTGTGTGTGTGTGTGTGTGTGTGTGCGTGAAAATGGACCATCCCTATTTGCACACAACATTAACATTTCATGTATGCTTATATGAAGCTGTGCTTATATTTGCGTGAGTGAAATTAGTAGCAGTCTACTTAAGAGTGAACGATGGAGCTGTCAAAGATTATGTGGCTCAGAAGTGCATTAGGCCTCTGTGATTTCCAAGCGTCTTACAGACTTGACATGAGAAGTGTATTTGAGCCGTAATGGAGGCCATCAAGGGACAGCAGAGCACAAAGGAGGATTTAAGAGCCTTGGTAAATGATAGTAGCTCAAATGTGTGTGTAGATTGTAATAGAGAGAAAGGAGACTCATTTGATTTTCTCAAGTCTGACTTTTGCAATGCTGCAGCACTTGCAACTGCATTATTGCTTTTATATAGCACCTTGTTTACCAGACTCTTAAACAAACATTATCAACAAACAAAAAAAGAACTGTGCACACAGTACTCCAAGATGGAGTATTTTACACGATCAAGGAGTTGAGTGTGATTCAGCATCACAGTGCTTTTATTCTTTCCAAACAACCTCCCTCCCATCCTGAGGGGCTCACATAAAACATGAATCCGCAGTATTAGGCAGATTATCTCATCTGCCATTCAAGATGCAAAGTCATCTCCACTGCATGACAGTTGCACTGTCAGGTCAACTCACTTTATGCCATTTTATGCATCAGCCTACCAACTGTGACAGCTAGGGCAGTCCACAGACGCAACACACACTCACAGGACATGGACATGCACACTGTTATTCAATAATAATTATTATTATCAAAAATTAAGTGATATTTGTTATTAAAAGTACCCATTTCCTTTTGCGCAAGAAATACTATGCACATCAATATGTGTATGTGAATATATGGAGTCAATTAAAAGGAAGCCAAAGCTACGCATAGCATTAAAATAAATGTAACGTTAAGCGTACCTTCACATGAATGTGTTTAAGACTTTTGGTCGAATAAAGTTCACAGTGCTTGTTACAACCACATTCATTCATTAAGGAGGGTAGACTTTATTTTATGTCCAGCAGAAATGACAAATGAGCTAAATGACCAGCTGAAGCTAATTCTCTGCGTAGGACAAGCAAAAAATCTCTTCACTTTTGTGTAGTAGCCATTGTTGAGACTGTAGGTTTAATCTTGTCGGGCAGTTTACCTGCAACATGCAATAGAAATGTGTCATCCACCAACACTTTTAAAGGTTGCAGTGATTATTTTCAAGAATAATAGTATTCAAGTGTGCACTAATGTACTGTCTCGCTAAATGAATGTGAGCTATCATCATTATGCATGAATTTAAATCTGAAAAAAGAGATATAAAATATGATTGATAACTTTGTCCATATATTCATTTATTTTTAAAACTGACTCTCTATATAAATACATATTATTGTAGCTCAAATGCACACACATGCGGTTATTTATCTCGCAGTTGTCCTCCATTCAGCCTCCCTCGCTGGTTCAGTAGTTGTTCAGTCTTCTAACTCAAAAAAACTGTAATACTTACTCTGGCTTGACTATTCAGTTACAGTTTTAAATCTAGTTTTAAATCTACAAGGTCACATGCCGGTGATTATTGTGTCAGCCTTTGTTCATAGTTGTGTTGACAGACCCTGTAAGGCAAGGAACCAAAATGATTTAATGCAAATCCAGAAGAGCATCCAACCACAATGCCATAGCTTCCAAATTAACCTCTGCTTTCATTATAACGAGTGTGAAGCCCTTTCTGTGTAGGCTACATTAATCAAAAGTAAAGTGGAAAATGCTCACCCTGCTTCAACACAGCAATTGTTACAGTTGTTCCTCATCATGCTCTTTCCATTTTTCGCTCTTCTTCATCTTCTTCATCCCCATTACACCAACTGTTAGTAACATAAAATATAGGTCAGAGGAGCTCATTCCATTATTTCTGCAAGTGTCCGAATTCAACTACCACTTGCTGACATTTGGTGCCACTATTGTCTCCTGCACCTTTAAATGACCCCTCTTATTTTTTGGGAAATACCCTTGCTGGTAATCTTATCAGTTGAAACTATCAGTTTCATATTTTCTCGTCCAGTACAGAGATTACTCTGGTACGTCTTGTTTTTAGTCTTGCTCAGCACAAATACTGGAAGCTGGAGGAAACTGCTAGTTCTGTTAAAGGTGCCTTCCAAAAACGTCAAAGTTTGGTTGTATTTAAAGAAAGCCACTCAGAAACTCATTGTCTGACTGTGAAGTTGAATCACAGTTTTGTCTTATTGAACAATAAATGGAAAATAACTGCAGCGAGGGGGACAGATATAGGGTGGTAGAGGAAGGGAGCCGTATGTAGATCAGCCCTCCAGCATTAAGGTTGATGTGTTCTTTTCTTTTTTTCTTCATCAGCACCGCCTGCTCTTCTTTTATTTTTAGACGGTTTGACGGAAAGTGGGATGGAGGGAGGAGGAAATAAATGAGAGACAGCTGAAGAAGAAAAAAATAAGTTCTGTGCTTAGATAGTGTTGTGTAGTGTTTTGGAGTGGACAGGTCTCTGACAGTAGCTTCTGTTTCCTTCTATCTCTAGATTATGTGCCAGCCAGAATGGGACTACAAGAGAGCCCTGAGCAGATCCCAGGTCAGTGCAGCCCAGAGGATAAGGATGTGTGCGTGTTTGGCATAATTTTTTTCTCAGCTAAATGTAGTAGAATAGCACTGAGTCATTGCTGTGGGGCATTTTTAAACAACTGATTTTAATTAGTTCACAATTTGACGATTGTTCGGCTGAATGCCGGAATAGCTGTAGATTTGTGTAAATTTTTGTCGTCGTAACATTAAGCTTTTTTTTTTAACAATAATATATTTTGACTATTTAATATCTATATATAAAATATATTTAAGATTATGTCAATCTTGAATGTTAGCTGAATAACTTTTTTATTAGGTATTTTGATTGCCATTTTTCAGCTGGAGTTTTAATTCTGCCAGAATTCGCTAAGATTTTGGACCTATTTTTATCCCAATTTTTTTTATTGTAAATATATTACCACAGATAGCATTATACATTTTCAGGTCACAAATGGAGACTGTTGAAAGGTTATATGTATATATATATGACATCACATAACTGGGAGTCAGTTGATTCAATGTTAATGTAAACATATTACTAATGCATTACCTTAGCTTATCTAAGTGGTTCTCAAACGGGGCAGAAGTACTTCGGGTGGGAAAAACCAAAGAGGGCTTTCACCATTACAAACCAATCAAGATTCAGGTTAGGAAGATTTAATCAGAGATGTAAAGTACAAAATAGAAGAACAGGCAATGCTCATTGAGGATTCATGTCAGTCAAAACCCATAATGAAGAAAAATGATGATGATGATGATGATGATGATGATGATGATGATGATGATGATGATCTTGGACTAGGGTGTCATTCATATCGTGAGCGCCTTGCGTCTTTTGTCTCTAAGAACTGTTGCTGCCTTGAGTTTGACTTGCAATTTTCACTTTCACAAACATAATTCAATGTAAAAGGAGACATGCAGTTCATCTAAATGATAATGTTATTTTAATAAGAGAATGCTCAGCTTGGCAATTTGTCACAAAATTTCCCCAGATTGTTGGTAAAAAAGTTTCTAAATCCAAAGGGGGGAGTGCATCAGAAGTTTGTGAACAACTGGTTCAGATTTCTATTAACTTCCAGTGGGTGGGCCTGTCACGTCTCTTCTTATTACCTCCTTTTATTGCCAGATGGTTTGCATGTGTTTTATTTTCGATGAGATTGTAAATTATGTTTACCACATTTTCATAAATTCTAGTAACCAGTATTGTTATTGAAATGGTGAAACACAAAATGTTGCTTGTTGAATAGGTCACAGGCAGAGCAAATTATTTTAATTGTCATAAGCATGCAATTCAAAGTAAATATAGATCATAAATATCCAAGTTAATTCAGATAAACTTTGAGAAAAAGTTAATCAGTGAATATTTTAACCTTAGATATCACAGTTTTTGATTTTCCATGGCTCCCAGATTGTAAAACATGAGCTTTTTTCATTTAAATCATCCATAATTTCCTCCACACTGGACATGCAGCTTCAGCTTTGGCCAACAACAAACCTGCCATCATCAGACTTTTAATGAATCAATACGTACCTCAGTTTCCTGATGTAGAAAGCCCTGTTCTGATAATACACATTACTCTCTGCTCGGTTGTCATGCATCACCTGCTATCACAGGAAACACTTGACAAGTAGTGGGCGTAGTATAACTGTGGCCAACTGAGCCCCGAACAACTATTTTATGGTTCATAGACGAGTCACTTTGATCTTTGTCCTGATGTATCCTAGCAACCAGGTATTTTCAATACAACTGATACTGCAGGTCTTCTCATCCTGGAGCCACCGGAGAACATTTGCAATTGGCAGATGCAGAGGCAGGGGCGGGTGAGAGGACAGAGGGAGGTTCTGGAAGCAGCAGAGAGGAAGAGAGCAGAGGAGAGGAGAGGGCAAGGGAGTGTTTGTGTGATACATTATTGAAATGTCAGTTGCTTTGGATTGAGGCTCTTATGCACGTGATATTTGAACTATAGGATTAAAGGAAGGAAAGAGCATAAAGCTGTATCTATAGGAATCTAGATAGGAAGATTGGGATTGAGTGGTTGTGTTCAAACTGAACACAAATGATGCAGAGAAGGCACTCAGCAAGTATCATGGGACGGCATCAGGACAATACACATCCTCCTAAACAGGTTCAGTATTGGTTTAACTGGGGTCTCTATCTTCAGTGCGGATGTGTTGTATGTGCGTGTACATGCGCTTTGTCTGTGTGAGAAAGGAGTGCCATTTAATCAGTAATGATGAGATGGTTTAAATAGGACAACTTGAAGCAATGTCTAAATTAAGCTTCTTGATACAGCCTAGTTTTTAGGTCAATTACGCATGTGAGAGACTGGTGTTCGTAAGCAGGAGAGTGAAGTCACTGTTGAGGGATTCGCTGTCACTATTGTTCTGAGATGGGGCCTATTTGTTAAACAGCATGTCCTATGGATGAGTTATCTATGTGTTACATGTGTGTTGTGTCTCACCAGCAAAATGGTTTGCATAGTTTCATTATCAGCTCAAACTTAGAGAACAATTGCATCGATATCCATTGATTTCGTGTTAGCGTCAGCCTTTGCACATTGTGAATATGAGAGAAAGGTGTTCATACATCTTGGCCAGCTCTGGAAACACGCCTCAGCTAACCCACGCTCCTTCCAAAACACATACTTTGCTAGTCATTATTACCAAATCAATAGATACATTTGTTAAGGATTAATAGCCTTGCAACCGTGAGGCGCTCCTGATCCTCAATCCTGTAACTGTTTCCTGCCTGTTTGCAATTCTGTAATCATCCTCCTGTATCCAGAACATGAACTTGGCCTCTGGCATTGCTTTGTTGGCTACTACTGCTTCAGCGTTAAATCTAAAAGCTGGGATAGGTGTATAGGCTTTTCTACATATTTTACAATTTTTCCATACTGTTGGAAACAATGGGCAGCTCCTCACTGTAGTGCTGTATTTACAGTTGTTGTGGATTTGGTTGTGGAGGAGCTCAGCTGGCCTGCTAGAGTTAGCCATTCTCTTTTCACTTGACTGGCCATAGCCTGCCTGTGGGCTCCTCGGTTTCTCTGTGTCCATCACTCTCTTTCTCTTGCGCTATCTCTCTGTCGCTCTTTTTCTCTTTATCTCTCTCTTTCTCTGTGCTCTCACCATCTGCCTTTATGCCTGATCTGCCTACATATCCTCTAACTGTCTCTCAGGAGAGGGGTTGGGGGGATGGGGGTAGGGAAATACTGAAATTGTGGGAAAAAACAGACAAGAAGAAGAGGAAAAATAAGGAAATGGAATAAAAATAAGAGAGGGAGAGAGAGAGAAGGGGCATTATCAGTGTCATTAATTTTCAATGCCAGTGTATCAAATTTGGTTTGGTATCTGTGTCATCTCCATTTGTAGACATACATTTGTGCACGAAAGGGAATAGGCACATAGTGTGTGTGAGTCAAGCATGAGATCATGTTTATGTGCGTGTCTGAACTTCCATATTCAAATTTCTTGCACGATAGGTTTCCTTTTAAATGATCAGTGATTTAGGTAATTTAAAAGGGGATTTCCCGTGGTGAAGGATTTTGTTCTCTTCTTCTTTCTTAGTTATTGGCTGCATTATAATTCAATCTAATTAAATAGAATAGTCCAGCATAGCTCTTACAAAGCCATATTTGTTGGTGCTGTATCACACAGCTATTGACTCATTATTGTGATAATTGTAATGTATATACACATAGATACTGTATGTATTTGTCTGAATGCCCAACCCTGCTCTGAATGGATATTGGTTTATAATTTAACAATGATGATATGACGTGGCTTCACTAGTGATCCAAATCAGTGGTTCTATTCTTAGAATGATGTACACAGATATTATCAGCGTACATCATCATAGACCAGTGTTTAATATTGTCTTCTGTTACAGTGCGCTGTGTTCGTTGAGGGATTATGACCCATCTTTCTGTGCGCAGCATGTACTGTATAACCCTGAAAGCCTGACAGACTGATCCCAAGGGGCAACTCTGGTACATGCATGCCTCGTGTGTGTGTGTGTGTGTGTGTGTGTGTGTGTGTGTGTCCACTGTTGATTTACTCATTGACCATCGCTCCCCCTGCTGTCCCCTGTGGGCCTTTATGCTGGGAGGAATCGATAACCTTCTCCCTCGCCTTGCCTCTCCACAGTGTCTCCAGCAGAACAGCGCTCTGTAGCACTTCCATCAGCTCAGATGCTTACACATGTTGCACTGAATGGACTCTGCAAATCCACACAACTGCTGTAAAGTTGTTTTGTTTTTGTTCTTAAAAAAGCTAAAATACCAGAATTCTAATACAGAAAAGTACCATATAAACAGCTGCAACACAACCCACCACACACACACACACACACACACACACACACACACACACACACACACACACACACACACACACACACACACACACACACACACACACACATTCAAGCTCCCTTTATCTCACTCTCTCCCTGACATTAGCTGAACAGAGTCCATTACTGCCAGGTAATGGGTGAATGTCACAATAGCAGGATGTCATAAAGCTCTGGAGTGGTCTAATGGGTTTTGTTCAGGTTGAGGTGACACATGCACACCCGTACATACACACATACAGACACGCGCTCTTCCAGGAAACTATCTTCCGATGTGCTTGATGCATTTACTCATCACATCACAGCCCAGAGCTCTGACATGTTTGAAGAGCTAATACAATCTGTTTAGGGAGGCAAATTATGAGAGTCATCTGTCACTTTATTTAGGATTAGAGGGCTGGTTCTGCTGTTTATGTTTCAACCCTTTATTCCACCCACACATCTTAAGCTTTTTCTACCGCAGAAAAATATATCTCTGTATGTGCGCTTGAGAAACTGTGATAGCTTGAGTTAACTGAAAATCTGAAAATAGTAGAATAGTAGATAGCTCTCAGGCTCATGATATGAAAAACCACTGAATGAAAGAGACGGAGAGAGTGGAAGCTTATCACAGGATTTGCTTCATGTGTTGGCACAGTGGGGGAGAGGAGGATAGAGGAGGAGAGCAGGAGTCCTGTGTCAGCCTTTTACTTTCTGGTCCAGTCACTGCCAGTCATTCTCATTAAGATTATTTTTAACAGGTTTTGCTTTTACGACTGAAACTAGAAGTGTTGAAATCACAGGTATGGGTGGGAGACTATTTTATAACACAGTTCATGCAGGGTTCAGTGGAGAACCACAGCTCAGCTCATTCATACAAAGTAAACTCCACCTCCAACTCTCTCTGCAGTCAACAGTCCTTGTTGCCTCTGTCTCTCTGTAAATACATTTCTATTGGGGTACAGTTACATGGGTCACAATTATATTTTACAAGTTTAAGTGGCTAGTGTTAGTTGATGAAAAAAGTTGTGTAGTTATGTGTAGGATGTTTTGTCTGTCTGGTTTGTAGCTCTGTTCCTAGCTTTATGTGTTCAAAAGTTACATCTCTACATTACTGATAATGAAATGATACATAATACATCTTAAAAATATTATTATTTTGGAAATACTGTCTGTTCATTTTTCCAGATTTTCAGATTTTTTTCATTTGCCTTGCACCTTTTTAATAATAAAAAAAAGTAGATATATAATCTTTACACTATATAAAGCACATTTACTGATGTCCATGATTGCTTTGTTGCGCAATTTGTGAATTAAGTCTACAGTATCAACTCCTTATTTATCATTTACAAATTGTAACTTTAGTTTTCTCCACAAGATGGATTGACTTTGCTATTTACAAATGCAGAATTTTGTATGCATGCACTTATATATACTGTGCATGTGTGTGTGTGTTTGTGTGGATTGTATGGAAGTTTCGGAGTGTGAGGAAATTGATTATAAGCTTAAGAGGAGCTGATTAGCACATGTTGACATTAACGGTGGAATCCATTACTGAAACCACACATGGTTGACCTTTGACATAGATGAGCCTTTGGGCTTATCAGTCAATATGTTCGCGGTAGTGGGTGTTTTATAGAATGTTTATTATTTTGATGTTTTTATGGCTATGATGTGTTCAATATTCTCTCATTACGCCTTACTAACTTTTACATGTTCGACCCAAGTAGCCATCATGCTACTAGCTTTATTATATATATATATATACATATATATACACAACGCTGTGTAGAGTGATATTTTTTCGTCATCATTGCATTAGACCAAAAAACATGGACAAAGAATGATTATCTCATTCTCTATCTCTTCCTCTCCTTTCCTCTTTTCTCCACTCCAGTCTTCGGGCACCAGCGTGGTAGTGGACATCGCGGTGATGGGTGAGGCCCACGGTCTGATCTCAGACCTGCTGGCTGACCCTTCGCTGCCCCCGAACACCTGCAGTTCTCTGAAGGCCGTCAGCAACCTCCTCAGCACCCAGATCAGCATCCAGCCGCTCCACCGGCCTCGCGTCCCTGCAGACACACACACCTGCTCTGACTCTGAAGAGGGGCCTGAAAAAACAGAGAGACTGGCCATTCCGAAGGTAAACACTGGTCTTTCTTAAAAATGTGATTGTGTTCATCCCTGTGTCTTTGGTTTGGCGTGTGAGACACTGTCCAGTGGCTGAACCACAATTTAAAATTCCAAAGGATGTAAACTTGAAGTTCACTCAACTTTGACTGGCCACCCAGAATCAGTTTGAAGCCCCGAGACTCATTGTAAGAATTGCACTCATCATGCTCATTTACAGCTATACTCTGGTATACCAAGCTGATCAATTCAGAGGACAAAACCAACACCTGGGTCAAGTATAGCAGTGACTTGGTTGGGATTCCGGAAAAGGATCTCCAAATAAATCTTAGGGGTCACAGGATGATTAAAAAGATTAGAAAGAAACAAGAAAGAAGCTGTGTTACGTTCCTCAAATTTAAATTTGTTTTCTTCTTATGAAATACCACATATGTCATACCTTCACATTATTCACATCAAACAATCTGAGAAGTCAAAATCACTTTTTGGTTGAATACCATAACCTGTGGTGTGGCTCACAATTAGAAATATCTTGATTTTAAAAGAATACTCCACTGATTTAGCATCACAAACCTAAAACATTCACACACACACTCTTTTATTCCATGCATTCTTTCATCATCAAAAACGCCCATCTACATTAACCATGTTGTAACGTTACTGCCGATAGTGCTGTCAGAAATGTAGGTGTGTTATGATGGCGCTAATGTTGCATCGAACTGCTAGCCTCAAGCAGCATTGAAGAGCTGGCTCTTCAATGCTATTCTTCCTAACGCCACTCCAGATTTGTCAGAGATGTTTTTTATTCTCTTCACCTCCAACTGAGTTTATCAGACTTCACGCAGCTCCCTCTGGAGTCACAAAACCCTTTATACAACTTTTTTTAGTACTCCCTAAGACCTGTAAAATTCCCCTTTAAACTCAAGTGATGTTTCCCATTTGGAAGCAAATATTATAATCAGTAAAGGAAAATATGTCAATCTATATTTGTTTTTTGTTTTTTCATTCTATGCTGCAGTATGTCAATATAAACACAGACACCCAGCCAGGTGTACTTCTTCCTGCAGACATCACCCCCATTTCCTCCCTCACTGCTGGCGTAGTGTGGGGCTCTAATGTAGCTAACAATGACGCACACACAGGCTTCCAGAGGGCTTTTTAATGTTTTACAAGGCCAGTGCTTCAAAATGTATGCGGGCACTTAAGGCGGCAAGGAAACTAAATAAAGCGTGTGATGCAATGCAGGATAGCCTACCAAGAAAGTGACAAGCAGCTTTAGCACTGCCTGAGTGCACTCAAATGCTCGGCCCATGTAGTGAAACTCAATGAGATGCTGCCTCATTTTAGCTCATTGGGGATTTGTGAGTCTGCATGTGGCAGTGGGTTTAAGTTGGTGATTCAGCTCACTTGTGCTGCCCTGTTGTTGGACAGAAATAGCAGTCACATAAAGGTAAAAATAAGTGTTGGTGACTGAGGTGCATTTGTTACTCAGGTTTTGAGCTTTAGTTTAAGGGACAGCAAAACACTTTGTTTCATTTCTTGTGAGAAACTCTGGAACAATTTTTTCTTTCGCTCGTCTTTTTTTCCACAGTTTACCTCCAGCAACTCCAGTTCTGGCTGTTTGTCGAGTTTATAGCAGCTTCCACACACTGAACCACCTTCTTGTGCACATATTGTCTCAATGATATTTCATATTACAGCCACACTTTTTCCAAAGCAAACAATAGTGTTGTAAGATTTTTGAGGTCATTGGTTCATATTCAAATGAAGTAAGAGAGACTTAAAACTTGTCCAAGATAACATCCACCAGCAATCCATCACAGCCAACACCATGTCTACTTATATTTTTGTCAGCTTCACTATTGTTGCATAATAATTCCTTGCAGATGTTTCAGATCTGCACTTTAAAACAGCATTACCATACGACAATAAAATTCACAACAGCAAAAACAGACACGATGTTCACAGTGACTGATTACCACCAAATAACCGCTCTCTCTCCTCCTCTGCCTTTTTTTCACACACTACTAGATACCTATGCAGTGTGTGATATATCACTGTGAAATTGTGTGTGCGAGTGCGTGTGTGGCACTTGTACTAGGTGAAATTTGATCCTCTGTTTCTCTCTATATTCCATCCTGTGTGTGCGTATGAGAGAGACAGTGAGAAAGTACCCTCAGTCAGCTGGTGATTAATCTAACATAACACAGTTAAATTTATTATGAATCAATCAAACATTGGATAAATTAAACAAAACCCAAAGTAGACTAAATTGTTAGTTGACCCTAAACAGAGAATATAAATTGGCTGAATATCTCCACTGTGTCAGAGAAAGGAAACAAAGAATGATCCTGAGCAAATACAGGCTCAGTGGCCACCAACTAGCCATAGAAACTGGAAAACACAGACAGACGAGGCTGCACAGAGAGGAGCGTGTGTGTGTGTGTTCAATATTCAGCAGGAGAGATAGAAACAGAGATAAGCTTCCTCCTCCACTGGGAGGGATTTCCACCACAAGGAAATAACCAAAAAAGTATCAGATTTTCCTAATTTAACCCCAGAAGCAAAACTTGCGGTTCTCCTCGGTGAAGGGACGACAGCTAAATGTGCATCTGCCTGCCACAGCATGAGGGCCTTGTAACTACTGATAATATGATATTGAGTAGTTGTATTAAATAATATATATTGTATATTAATGAATTGTATTGAAAGAATTGTAATGTATTTAATATGTGATATGGAAATATTTTGTTTGATTTGGCAACAACATGTTTTTGTTCATGCCTATAAAGCCTTTTGAATTGAATTGAACTGAATTGAATTGAGAGAGAGAGAGAGAGAGAGAGAGAGAGAGAGAGAGAGAGAGAGAGAGAGAGAGAGAGAGAGAGAATACACCAACTGTACTAAATACAAACTGACAAATAACTGAGTTTAGCTCATGGCTTTACAACAACATTTACAACACTGGATAGATTGACACCACAGGGGAAACAAGCATGACTCCCTTCTACTTACCATTCTGTCTCCCATATGCTTTAAAAAAACAGGAATGGTAATGGAAGAACAAATATGGCATCCTTCTAGTTTGATATCTTTTCTTTACTTTAAAGGAGGCACAACAGATGCTCTGTAGGAAACTATAGCTCTGTTTATTAGCTAAAAATGCCAGAGGCTGAAACGTCATGTCTTAACTACTAAACAGAGCTGTATATCTCCACAGAGGAAGTGGAGTACGGTGCCTGCCTTTCTTTTCCTGATGTTCTGCTTTGTTGGCAGTATTTTGTCTGTGGTTGTGTGAATTGTGTGTGACTTTTTGGCTCTTCTTATGTTTCTTATGGTCATAGAGTAAATGTGACCCAAGCTTTTTGTCAACGTTGTCTGTCATTTTGGATTACAAATGTCCAAAAGAGGGTTAAGAGTTCTAGTGAAACAGCAGCAAGTAAATCAAATACAAAGGTGATATAAATAAGATTGCAGTTATATTAACAATATTTATTTCATGAATAGGGGTACTGTGACACTTCAGAAATAAAAAACAATTGGACATATTTTGATATTTGCGAATTCAAAAAAATGTGGATTATCAAAAGCTATTTTTTTGTGTGTATATGAAGGAATTGGAGCAGATGTGAAAAGATGGAAACTGTTCTTGCAAAATGTATTATTCACAGTCCTTCAGGGGATGGAGTGTTTAGACATGTAGACATGCAACGACTATAAAAAATTATTAGTTGGAGGCTTAGAAAAAAAATGACAAAAGTAGTAGTTTTTTCACAAAGCATAACATATACTATTCATTCAAACACAAAGACGCACACACACACACACACACACACACACACACACACACACACACACACACACACACAACCATATCTTTGTTGTTTCTGAGTAAATGTCCAAGATACAAGTGATTACAAGAGGTTTTCATTGAAAATCCCCTACATTCTTATTTTGTCTAATGCCTGAGCACACTAATACATGTCTTACTCAACTCATCTATTTAGGCATGGTACAATATGAAAATTCCATGTCACAATTAGCTTGGCCAAAATAATTTCAAGTTACTATATTATCATGATAAAATAACTCTTAAAATGGCACTAAATATATGAAAATAACACATTTTGGTAAAACATTTTTATTTTTATTGTATCAGCCTACTCTGTAGGACACATAACTCTTTTAGTGGGGTATACCATGGGGAAGCTGAGACTTCAGCTATGGTGACAGACTTAGGATTTTAAAATGACTTTAAAGATGTGGGCTCCCCCATGTGGCAATTGAAAATAAATCAGGAAATCAATATAGGACTGCTTTTTCTCATGTGAGCATATTCCAGATTATCCCAATTCCCGATTACGCTGACAATGATGTATCATAATAATAATACATCATAAAGCTGTATATTTCCTATCCCTGTGAAGCTTCTAACACTAACCTTAACATGCGTTTTTTTATCCAAATTACAGCGGCTAAGACGGAGTCTGCCCCCAGGATTGCTAAGGAGAATCTCGTCAACTTGGACCACGACCACCTCAGCTACAGGGTTGCCTACCATCGAGCCTGGCCCTGTACGCCGAGACCGCTCAGCCAGCATCAAACACACCCCAGACAGGTAACTCTCACTCCCTCACTGCAATCAAGGGCAACACATTAACTATGAACAGTATCAGATTCATATCAGCAATTTTATTGTTGCAGTAATTCATTTATCTAATGGGATTTTCCTCAGTGAAACATGGAACAACTCGGTGATGATGACCATCTCAAAGAGTCGTTCCATGTCTGCCTCCTGTGCTGCCTCCAACCACCTCTACAGCAAACCACTGGGAAGACCAGGTGTGTGTGAGTGTACAAATCTACTTAACGCTCTGAGTAAAAGTCCATCTACATCTACAACATTTTTTTAATTGGAAGATCTTCTCAGCTTGACTTTACGGCACATAGTTCCACATTTGACAATCAGCTCTGTAATTGACGTGACTTAAAACATTGCAAAGAATTCATTCAAAAGCAAATTAAAAAATAGTAACAAGAGCAAATTATGTAAAGACTGAAACATTAGTCAGTATTGCTCTCTTTTTCAGGTTTCCCCTCTTCCAACGTGTCACCTCTGGGCTCTCCGTGCCCATCTCCTCCCGTCCAGGGCACTCCTGTCTCCAGCCCCACAACAAAGACATGTTCAGTGCAGCTTCCTGAGCCGGCTGGGCCCCTGACAGAGCGGACCCCTGGCTCTGTGGCCCCCAAGAGCCACCACAGAGCCTTAACTCACAGCCAGAGCGCCCCGAGCTCCACCACCCCTCACTGGCGGCCACCGTCTCTCTGTGGCAGGTAACATCACACACTAGATGCATTAATTTATTCATTCAAATACTGGAATACAGCTTCAATAGCATCTGTTTGTGTTTGTGTGTATGAGTGTCCATTTATGTGAAAATTAGGGGAATGAGTCACTTCATTAGTCTTTTCTGAGAGGACAGGAGCTGCTTCAATTATCAGATGAGAGAGAATGATCAGGATGGGCTAGCATGCATCCTCTGAATGTGTCTGTGTTTCTCTGCTCTCTTTCTATCAGCTGTGGCAGGCCGTTTAACAATCGACTAAACCACGGGGCAGAATCTGTCGACAAAGGAGACAGAATACCCCATCCAGGTAAACAGCAGAGTACAGCCTACAGTAGTTACTATTAGACATACTGTATCTATCCAACTGAGATAGAAGTGATGATGACCACAGAGTTCAGTACAATAAATAGTCTTAGGAGAGATTTGGTCATGTACAGTAGTAGTAAGAAGAATCTCTGAATCTTAATAAAGTAAATTATATAAAAGCTTTAAGAATATAACCTGATAAATACAGATAATGCTTCCAGCTTATTTTCTAGGTTTATCATACCAGAACTGCCCTCATTGTAACTTTTTGGATAATAACCATCAATATGCTTACATGAAATTTCATACATATAACATGTGTAACGTCTCCCTAGATGAGCGTGCTGTAGCTTCTTCAGACTATGACAGCACCTACGACAGTACCTACGAGACCAACCACAGTGACAGCAGCGACTTTGCACAGAATGAAGAGGAGGGAGAAGGAGGCAAAAAGCCGCCTGAAGCGAGGGAACGTTGCAGAGAGTATCTTCCAGAGGGCATCGTTCTTCACCCGCTCCTGCCATCACCAGAGGTAGGCAATCAGACAGGTTTAATATGGTAATGAGAAAAAAAGTCTCTGTTATCTGTTTTAATGTGCTTTAAATCCCTCCAAAGACAACAAGAAATAAAGAATTTTGCCGATTAGGTCACGTTTTTACAATCATTTAACCTACTTACAGCAATTAGGTAGATATACTTAATAATAATAACTATACTTGATAATAATAACAACATGAAAAAATCTAAAATTCCTTCCCTAAATGCTGGAAACCAAGCAGTGGTGCAGTCTGATAGTGTCTGAAAGAGTTTGTCTGTATCTTTCTGACCTTTCTTTCTGTACCCCCACCTCTAACTGTTAGGACAAGCCAATCTTGGCCCCAGAGCCTCTGGTGATGGCAGGGCTGGACCCTCTGATGAGTCAACTCAACAACTGGAACTTTCCAATTTTCAGTCTAGTGGAGATGACCCATAGCAAGACAGGCTGCATCCTGAGTCAGGTAAACACTAATTAGCGAGGAAATGTTGAAACCTATATGACATTTATAAAATGAAAACACATCGATACTGATTCAATTAATAGAGACCCATGTTGATGGAAAATGTTGACGTGTGTAATTAGCAGCTTAATGTGGTTGTGACATTTGCTGTTGATGGAGGCAGTGGGAAAAGGCAATTTGCATTTTGCTGGCAATAACAACAACACTAGAAAATGAAAGCAGTGCATACAGGTTATGGCCAAAGCAGTTTCAAAAACTATTTTGTGTTATTGGATTATAGACTAAGGCTTGGGATATGTTATTTAGAAACTCTTATATAAGCCTCTATAACCTTTTAGAGGAACATAAAGATGACTACACCCACAAGATCAGGTCTTGAGAATACCACCATAGCTCAGTATTAATTAGACACCAATATATTACCACAAGCATTTTTTTCTGGATTATATACAAAAATGTTTTTGTATCAGATAATATATACGCTACCAGATACCAATATGTCTGCGATAGGTCAATATCAGCCGATAATATCAGTCAATCAATATATTGTTTGGGCTCCAGTGTTAATATCAGTTAGGAATAGGTTAGGATTGTTCTTATCAGGCCGTAACTGTATATCTAAACCTCTACAGAAATTATATATGGTTCACAGTATGTTTTCTTTGTTTAATGTCCCAGGTTTCCTATAGGCTTTTTGAGGACACAGGCCTATTTGAGACCTTCAAAATTCCCGTACAAGAATTCATGAACTACTTTCACGCTCTGGAGAATGGATACAGGGTCATCCCTTGTGAGTAGAAGATCTCCATGTTTATCAAATTGTCTAAGTTAATTATTGATACGCAGCATTTCCTTTATCCGCCACCAGGTGGAAGTGTTGCTTTGTCAGTGAAGTAAAGCACCACTAACAGGCCTTTGACTTTCAGATTCAGGAGGTTGTGGCTGTTCATGTTGCTCAGAGCTAGAAGAAATCTGAGTCAGGTTTCCTGTTTATTATACTTAAATTTAAAATGTAATTTAATTTTATTATTATTATTAATTTAACACAGTAGTAGTGTTTTTGATTACATGATTATTTTTAAGTGTATGTTTCCATGGATGGACATCCTTTGAAAACAGGAGAAATAGTCCCTGCTCAGTGTGAAATTTTTGCATCATACACCGTGTACATTTTACCAGCCTCTCAAAAGTGTGAACCTTAACACATCCTGCTTACCACTTAACACTGAGCGTACCTCAGGTTTAAGATTATAACAACTGACTATTGCTAATCAGTATCAACCCCTTTCAAAACTATAATTTGTCAGCATAGCCCACAAAATAGACTTTTGTTAAAAGGCAGAACACCATTACTTAGTTAATGTTACAGATTCCTTGTTTAAAAGAGGCTTTAGTGTATGTTGTTTTCCAGTTCCAGCTGGGACTTCATCACACCGCCTTCCGCTGGTGAGAATTGCCATTTTATTTTACCCTCCTCAGATCACAACCGGATCCATGCCACTGATGTGCTGCATGCTGTTTGGTACCTCACCACTCAGCCTGTGCCAGGCCTGCCCACTTTGCTGACTGAGAATGGGATACACACTGGTGAGGACTTTTACTACATACAGTAGTTCCTTAAGATCAACCATTTGAACAAACGTTCCCTCGCTCTTACCCATATTCTGGAGAATTTAAATATCTTTTTTTGTTTCCAGTCTTAGTGTCGAGCTCAACATTTTGATTGGCTTGAGTGGTGTAAATTGTGGATGACGAAATCCCTGTTTTCCATCATTGTCAAACATATCAGTGAATTTACATCAACCATGAATTACAATGTTGTGTTTCAGTTCCAGCCAAGAACTTTTGTTGCCCATCTCTCATATTTCCTTTCATCCCTCTCTATTATCGCTATCTAATAAAGGCATAAAATGCAGCAGATTATGATTATTAAAAAACAGAAATCTAATCCAATCTTATGTTTTGATTTGTCAAACTTGTCAGTTTTTTCTTACTTACTTACTGTAAGTAAGTGTGAGTGTGGGTGGGTAATAGTAATTGTGTCTGGATGAAACATGTAATACAGCAGTCATATTTAGTGACACAGAAGGCTTTCAAAACCAACAAAAGTTACAAAACATACTGTATGCATACACACGGTTAGCAAATGTTGGTTTCTTAAAGCTATGATTAATTGTGTCCAGTACTATATTAACAACAACATGACACAAAAAAACTTGGTTTCCTTTTAATAGATCCCATCCACATTTGTGTAAAAACCCTCCATGCTTACTGCGCTGTATATATGACTGGCACAACAAGACTAGTACAGTACAATAAATAAGGGTTGCATTTAATCTTCTTGATATATCAGCCCTGACTCAGAGCCTTCATGGAAGGCTTCTTGTTTGCCATTGTTGATGTTCATTTACAATGTTTAGTGTGATAGTTAGTTGGATAGTTTTGTCACGTATGACTCATTTCACAGTCAACAACATGCTGATGATAAAGAGGAGGTGCAATACTGAACGTTTCTTCCTGAATAAATAACCTAAGAGAACCAACAACTACTGAGGCTGGCAGCATTTAAGCACCATCAGTGACTGAGGTTTTCTTTTTTCTCCCATAGACTCAGAGAATGGCATTACGGCTGGTGCCACAGGCTTCCTGGTATCCAAGATGAACTCGGTGCTGGAGGACGGCTATGGCTCCCTGGCTGGCCTTATCCCTGGCCTAGAGCTCATGGCTCTGTATGTAGCTGCTGCCATGCACGACTATGACCATCCTGGAAGAACTAACGCCTTTCTAGTAGCTACCAGTGCACCACAGGTAAATAAATGTAGGTGTGTTTCGGGGAGGGCTGTGGTGATGGATCAGCAGATGCACTGATGCATAATGAAGATCATTTACCAATTCATTAAAACAAGGGCAGCTTCAGTTGGGATTTATTGTAATTAGGCCTTCATTTTTTGTCAGGAAATGTATGTAACCCATTACTACTACTGCTGCTATATGAAGACAACTCATAAGAAGAGTATGTTGGGCGTCTGGATAGCTCAGTTGGTAGAGCTGGCAACCCATGTACGGAGGCTGAGTCTTTGCTGCAGCGGCCCAGGGTTCAAATCCAACCTGCAGCCCTTTGCTGCGTGTCATCCCCTCTCTCTCTGCTCCCCTTCCTGTCTGCCTTTAGCTGTCATTTAGCTATAATAAAGGCAATAAAAGCCCCAAAAATATACTTTAAAAAAAAAAAAAAGAAGAGTATGTTACTCCCCACAAGCAAACACCAAGCTCCCAAACTGGGGAGTGACAAAATCCCACCCAAAACTACATCCAGAGCCCAACACCAACTATTATGTGGAATTAGCTATGTGTTGCAGGGCACCAGCTGATGTATGGCAATTTCGTAACCAATCACCTACATAAATATTCATTAACAGACCAAGAAAGCAAGCTTTGGCTATGCAGCAAATACTCACCAACTTAATGTTTAGCTCACAACTTCTGTTTATATGCTTTTGTAATGCTGAATGTGAATTATACTATATCTATATTTGACTAATCTATCCTATGTGTGGAAAAAAAAAATGTACGTCAAAAACAATAACTCCAGATCTGGAGGATAACAGTGAATATGCAGGACACTTTATGGCCTGAAATGTGACTGTTAATTGTATTTTTAATTTCTTTAGCCCAGAACACAATCTAAAATAATGAAGGGATAAATAAGGCCCTGTAAGCTATGGTAAAACACAAAGGAGCTTACATTATAAATACCAATACCGAATGTTTCTTTCTCCTCTTGGTCTTCCACTGTAGGCTCTTCTATACAATGATCGTTCAGTCTTGGAAAATCACCACGCAGCTTCGGCGTGGAACCTCTTCATGTCTCGACCTGAGTATAACTTCCTGGTTAACCTTGAACATGTGGAGTTCAAGCGCTTCCGCTTCCTAGTCATTGAAGCCATCCTGGCCACCGACCTCAAAAAGCACTTTGACTTCTTAGCAGAGTTCAATGCAAAGGTAAACATTTGAATCTGTAGAACAAAAACGTGACGTCCATCTGCATTTTATTGACATCATTGGTCATCTCATATTAGCTTTTGTTAAATCTTTTTATTTTTTTCCTAGAATAAAAATGCTCTTTTCTCCCTGATTGTCCTAAACTGAAGTTGACAACCACTCAGTAGGGAATTCTTTACAAATCACTGGTTTTCTCTTTACTCAAACCTTCCTGTGCACATCCCCCCCAGGTGGGTGATGAAGGAGTGTCCGGTATTGATTGGACCAACGAAAACGACCGATTGCTGGTGTGCCAGATGTGCATAAAACTGGCTGATGTCAATGGACCGCTGAAGTGTAAGGAGCTGCACCTGCAGTGGACAGAGGGGATTGTCAACGAGTTCTACGAACAAGTATGCTCACAAATCTCTGCAATCAGACATGAAGAGATCGTCTTTGCGTGGTCACCTCCCTCATCACAAGTTATTAGCCTTTAGACAGTAGCACCTCACACACAGATAGATGGGAGTTTACTGTACAGAGTACAGTAAGTACTGAATCAAATAACTGATTAAAAAGGGAAACACTGCTGGTGGAAAATATATTAAAGTAAAAACTGAGCAAAACTAAAGGCATCAGAAAATTAGAAATGACAGAAGTTAACATAAAATAACACTGAATACTTTATATTATTATATTATTCATTTACATAATGTTGACTTTTAAAAGTCTGTAAATTTAAAGCAAATCTATGTAACATTTGCTGCAAAGCTCAGTAATGTCAGTTAAATAATAACACCTCTCTGAAAGGTCCAGTGTGTAACATTTAGAAGGATCTACTGGCAGAAATGGAAGATATCACGCAGAAATATGTTTTTATTTTCGTAAAATCACCTGAACATAGGAATCATTATGTTTTTGTTACCTTGTTGCCTTTTATAGTTACAGATGCCATGGAATTTGCTATGTTTCTAGAGTAGCCCAGAAGGGACAAACCAAATACTGGCTCCAGATAGGTGCGTTTTGTTGCCACAGTACTTTCTCCTTTTCGCTTGGAAGGGGTAGGGTGAAACGAAGGAGTTGGGATCTGCAACTACAGATGCAACTAAATCATACACACTGGACCTTAAAGTTTGATTATATTAGCCACCATAAGCTTTGATTGACGGGGACCAGACAACCCACAAACTGACTTCAGACAATTGCTCTTTTTGCTCCCCATCCTCCATTGCGAGTTCAGGGTCAACTGCTCTGCATATAGGGATTTACTTTCCTGCTCAAGGACCCTTCAGCTAGGTTTGATATGTGCAACTGGATATTCCCTCTGAACAGAAATAGAATAGTCAAAACACTTACTTACTAGCTCATGAATTGTTAAAGACCACTGTAGACGGATGCCTAGCAACAAATCCTGTTATTAACTAACAATGGCTCTTATTGGTCAGTTCGATCAGTGCCGAGCAAGTCGATAAAGATCAGATGTGATTAACCAGAGAGATATGGTTACTTGCCTAGCAACGACATGTTGTAAGTAGAATAGTACTAATTTGAGACTTTTAAACTATAATTGAAGCTATTTGTAACTATAGTACTCATCTAAAATCTTTGTATTTGTACACAGACTGTACAGACTGTAACAGCTGTTTGTTATCACAAGGTTACTTTGACAATCAGCAAACTCATTATCTGCATTTATTTTGTTTATTTTGTCAATTTTTAATGAAGGGAACATATGTACCAACGATATCAGAACACTGTGTAGCAGCTAGAAACCTCAAATCGTAGCTGTGCTGATTACTGATAAAAAACCACTCCTCTGATCTGTTTCTGAATTGTAGCATTCTGCTATCCCTCTCAAACCTTCTGTTCAATTCTCATAATAGCTTTGAGAATTATGTATGTCCTTTGAGGGAGGGGCTGGATGGAGTGAGAGAGAGCGCGTGTGTGTATGTTTTTCTCTTCAGAGGGGAGACGGGTGACCCAAATGAGTCATCTTTGACAGAGCTCATTCACAGTCACACAGAGCAAGATCACAGGGATGGAACTGAGGCTGTCAGTGGCAGAGTCAGTACAGATGTACACACACACACACACACACACACACACACACACACACACACACACACACACACACATATAGATTGTACACACACATACAAACACATACATGCATTTACATTATACTCTGCAAGGCACTTTAATATTCAAAACATTGGCAATTTGGGGTTTCAGGGGATAAACCATTCTCTCGCTCTCTCCCCCCACTCACACTCTTACTATACATATACAGTATACACAAACACCTCTCACCAAAACCACTTCTTCCAGGTTTCAGGTTGCCATAGCAATGGGAGCCCTTGCCCCTCTGTTCTCCTACTGGATAGCTTTACAGTTTTTTTCAATTGTTTACACGCAATTTTGAAAACCGGGTTCTTTTTTTCAAAATATAATCACAATTATCCAAACACCACACTCAATTTGCATAATTCCTACATTGTTTGCAAAATGACAAACTTCAGTCAAAACATATACACATATTTGTGAAAATGCTATTAGTTTTCATTTAACCAACACAGTCCTCAATGATCAGACACTATTGCAGCCAGTTTCACACTACTGTGATAAATAAAAAACACATTTGTAAAAAAACTAATTTTAGGAAATAGCATGTGCTAGATTTTTGGCCAGACTTTGTTATGTAAGGGATAATTTAGATGTCAAAAAAAAAAACAGTGACAAACCCACAACATTCTTCATGATTAGTATGAGATATAGGGAGAATGTACACAAATAGGCCTACTATAAACTTACCAAGCACTGCACAACACTGATGCTGCAGACTGAATATTTCAAGTATTTATTTCTTTGCTTATTTGCTTACCATAATCAGTTACAGTAATCAACCAACAATGAAATCAATAAAACAAATAAAATCTGTAGACAAATAAAAATTACTGCATGAAGTACATACACTTTGACTCTGAAGAAAAACTACTGTAAAAGCAGGTCTGGCTGAGTGCTGCGTTTTCAAATTAGCACATGTGTGCTTCCACACCTGGTGGATGTGATTATCCAATTTGTTCATTAGTGTGGTCATTGGCAATCCAGGGCTTTGTAATGACAAGGAAGTAACCTCACAATCCTTATCTGTGTCTAAGGTGTGAAAATGTGTGTAGAGTTTTACAAATCACTGTGTGTAATGTTTTGCAAAAAGGGTGAAGCAGACATTGTGTGTAATGTTGTGCAAATCTGTGGAGGTGTTTTGCTCCTAGAATTTCGCAAATTATGTGGAAGTTTTTATTTTAGTGTGTAAACAATCGTAAAAAACTGTAAATGCCCTTACATCAGAAAACAAAGGCAAAATACAAGACTGTCACTATATATGAAAGTACACATAATCATTTCACATTTTCATAATATTATTTCACATCAGACACTTTTGCAACATATCTTAATCATCAAGAAATGGTGAAAATAATGGAAAATATCCCAAAATAAAAAGTTCCTCTGTTAGTTATATAGATTTGTTTATTTACATTCTATTAAAAAAATCAATTCATACAATTCCATTTCAAATTAATTATCTATCGGGAACAAAGTATTTTTCTGGAACAGGCACTGAACAGGTGTATTTTTAAGGTTAGTGTGGATATGTCCTTAGTGTGTGTGAATATCAACAGGGCCACTAGGAATGCAATCAGCACAATAATGAAGAGATTCCAACCTTACTGGCTGTCTGAGATACGTGTTCATTGTAGCGCTCTCTTTGTGGATGCAAAATAGAAAAATGGAATGACAAATATCCCAAGGACGAGGAAGGAACAGCATGGCTCCACTTTGGCTTGTCTTTATCCGACCTCTACTTACAGTAGACAATTGTTATACAATCAAACCAAAAATCACCAAATACAATCATAAACATCTGATATGTTGTGGGGAGTCAGGCTTGGTTGTTGCACCCTGTCTATGCAGAGACAGTGCAAAAATAGTTAGTGAAATGATTCATGTCAGTATTTATTAGTGGTGACCTTGTGGGTAATAAATACACATTATTAAAGTCATCATTACTGTGGCAAATCTCTGCTGACATTCTCATTTATATGACTGATCACTACAGATGAGCTAGTTTAAATTGATGTTTTTCTATTTGTAGTCCTCTTGACCTACTTCAGGAGACTATACCCAGAGGTAGTGTATGTGGGACTTTCTGTGCTTGGCCGTGAAGCTGTACAGGAAGGATAAAATGTATATCTGAGTTTAAACAACTTGTCTGATATAGAGTTAACCTACATGTATAATATAAATACAATATAGTATATTTAATATGTAACTTAATCCTTTATAATGTAGTGTGACATGTATTGTAAAGCGCTCCATTTATATTAAGGCAAAGCCTCACAGAATTGCTTTCTGTTAGAGGTTGAAGCTGTCAAATATGTAGCTATACATGACAAAATCAACATTTTTGATTTCACATATTTATTAGGCACTAATTGGTAGACGAAGTTGATATGAAATAAATTACAAAAATAATTTAAACATTCATTTGACATATTATATATCAGATTTTTACTGGATCAAAGCACCTATTATTGATCAATAAAAGGTTTATTGAAATTGAAGTTGTTTTGGATCCAATGGTACCAAGCATGTGACATAACGCCATATACCAAGCATCATCCATGTAAACACATCAATTAATGGGTTATCCGTAGAGGTTGTCAATATATTATTTTTATTAAGTCACTTGCCTACATTTTATTCTTTTTGACAGGTAATTATCCATATTTTTTATTTTGTAAACAGTACTCTGAATATGCAGTTGAGTAACAAAGCAAACAGAAATCCTCTATCATCTAACTATCATCATCTATCACTTGCTCGGCAGTTCATAGAGTGAAACGCTTTTTACATCAGAGGAGATTTTTTCTTTTTAAATCATGACAATAATAAAACAAAATGTTTGCATTCATGTCAAATCAGTTTTGGCTTGTTGATATTGACTTTAATTGGACAGAAACATAAGCCAAATAACCTCTTCTTCACTCTACTAATTTTAAGAAAGTTTGCAAAGTTTGAATTCAAATATCTCGTGAATTCTTAAGAACTGATGTTCGATAGACATAAGAAAGTCCTGGATTCATTTCAGGCCAGAAACTTTTTCTGTGCTGGAGCTATAAAAATATGGAGAAAAATGTTCTGTCTCTCCCAAAATCTCATCATTATATAATCTAAATGTTCCATTTTCCAGTACATTTATACTGATCACCTCTGTTGCCGCGTTTGTACCCTTCTAGGGTGACGAAGAAGCAGGCCTGGGCCTTCCCATCAGCCCATTCATGGACCGGTCTGCTCCGCAGCTCGCTAAACTACAGGAGTCATTTATCACTCACATAGTGGGACCTCTGTGCTCCTCCTATGACTCTGCTGCGCTTATGCCGGGACACTGGGTTGACCCACCTGAGGGAGAGATGGAGCCAGAGGAGGCGAAGGAAGAACAGGATACCGAAGAGGAAGATGAGGATATGGCAGATGAGGACGCATCAACAGGTTCTGACACCTCCCGTATGTCAACTTCTTAATTAGTCATGTTGCAGAAAATATCTTGCTGATTGTATTGAGTTGTGCGAGGCCTCTAATGATGTATGCTTTAGTGAGTATTTATTCAGACTACATCATGTTATTAAACCTGTTGCTTGGTGGGAGATTTGACTGGAAGATCTTGTTTTGCTCATCTCTTGGGGTAAGGTAGAAATTGTAAATCAGCACTGTTGGTGGAGTTTTGTAGGTTGATCACTGGGCTTAGTTGCGGTATTGACCAATTTGAGGGCTTGATTGATTTGGAGAGGAACAGGCTCAAGTCTTTAAGCAGATGTATGATGAAAAGGTGGTCTCAAAGTATTGATGTGTACAAGAGCACTGATATCCACTTTATTATTATTTTTTGTGCAGCACATTGTGCATAGTCAAACTAGTTTTCTTAACTTATGGTACTTAGCCCATTCAAAATAGTTTTAAGGTGAGCTGTGGATTTCGGAATTGCTACTGTGCAACTGTGCTATTTAATTTTTACAGTTTGTCTAGTTTTTAATAGGAGTTGTTTTATTTGCATTTATTGGAAAGCATCCCACCATTGGAACCTACAATGGAAAGAATGCCAACATTTATGTGACAAACATACAAAGCTAATGTACACAGTTACTGAATGACCCATTTAAATAAATAGTTTGACACTTTGCATTCTTAGATTTACATTACGAGGATTGATACGACTCCCATATGTGTCCATGATATTATGAGGTTGGAAGCATGAAAGTGGTATCAATCCTGTAATCTAACTCTCGGCAAGAAAGCGAAGTCATTTCCAGCTTCCTCGAGAGCTTGTCTAACTTTTGGCTTTTTGTCTGACAGAGCGGCAAAAAAACAAAAAGGTGAGCAGGAGGAAAGTGTTTTGCCAGATCACACAGCATCTTCTAGAAAACCATGAAATGTGGAAGAGAGTCATTGCTGCAGAAGCCCAGGAGGAGGACCAGAAAGAGGACCCGAACTACATCAGCAGCCCCACCGATCCTATCACAGCCATTCATGAGGAAGAGGAGGAGCAAGCAAGCAAAGAGGAGGAGTCGACTGACGGCCTCGATGAAAGGGAAGAGGTGCCGGCTATAGAGGAAGAGGAAATCCTTCCGCAATCAGAGACTTCAGGGGAAAAAGAAGAGGAACAAGAGTGATATTATGACCTCTTCTTAAACCAGGCATCTGAACGTTGTCTAAAATTTTTGTTTCTTTCCTAACTAAACTCTTAATATGGTAGCCAGCACATCACTTCGACACAACACTGTAGAAGATGTTTTGGGTAATATGTGCCTAACAAAAACTGGGTTTTGAGGACAGGGATGATGCATGCCCAGTTCATCTGACAAGGGGGAGAGAGGTGAGATGAGCAAAAGATGAAGTGACTGAGGAGTAGAAGAAGAAAATGAAAAAAGAGAATGATTGGGACTGTATTTTTTTTTGTTGTAGTGTTTGTTTTAGTCTGGATCTGGTGCCCTGCCCTCACCCAGGCTGCCCATCCTGCACTATGGGCCAACCACGCTGATTCACAGGTTCACTCCACCAGTGAGTAATACACTGTCACGAGCCCCCCCTCACTTCACCCTTCTTGTTGCTCCCATGCAATCAGCACACTGTGGAGCCACCCAGCTGGTTGAGGATGTGCAACAAGCCCCTTCTCCTTGAAGACAATGAGATGAAAGCCAGGGAAAAAGCTGTGTCCACTGAGGCTCAGCCATGGATTTGTGGAGGGAGATGGAAAAAGGGCCAGTTGTAGCACATTGTGTATACAGACATACACCCACACAAGCTTCACACACACACACACACACACACACACACACACACACACACACACACACACACACACACACACACACACACACACACACACACACACACACACACACACACACACACACACACACACAGTATACCACAGTGCACTGAAATACAGTAGAAACGCATTCCACACTCAGAACAGATAGGAAGTTTAACAAAGAACCCTGTTGCTCTAAAAGCTTTATTCTTGCTCAAGGAAAAACATACAAAACAAGGTTTTGTTCATGTTAAACAATGTTTGTCCTTAGTCACATATTTTCTCCTGGACTCTTGTTACCCAAAATCATTCCGGCACACCTACACATTTCCAGGCCACAAAACTCAGGAAGGCAGAAACCCATAGAAAAAAACAAACAAAAAGGGACTTGCGGTGTCCTTGTCCCATTTCTGTGCTGTGTGAGATGCTATTGATTTAATGATAACCACAGAGACATGTGGCTCGCTTTGTGAATCACAAAGGAACCACAAGGGAAAAAATATCATTAATCCCATCATACTATATCTCACAACTGTATTTAATTTCCTCTGCTCTCCCTTTGGTCCCTATGTGCTCTCAAACAGAAGATCGAAATGTTAATCATTTAAAACTAACTCACAAGACACAAAACTAGGTAATAAGGTAATGTGTTTTGCTAAGGAAATATAATTTACGTCCACATTTTATGTCACTTCCCAACTTGTTTGGTTAATCTTTATAGTAATGTACTCGCTAATGACAAGAATCCTTTCTTCTTTGCAATATAATTTATAGTCTGGTATGTAGGCCACATGTTTCGGAAAGTAAAGTAATCCAGTAAGCCATAGTGGACCGAGCCAGGGCTGACTCACAGCTCCAAATCACCCACGAGGATTTACGTCAATGAGACATTTAAAACAAACAAACAAACAAGAAAACTACCCTGTGGAGCCTGTTCCCAACCAGGGGGTGCTGTGTACCTACGAGTCTCATCATTCAATATTTAATTATTTTAGTTGCACAAAAAGGCAAAAAATGTAATGTGGAAAAAATGATATTAACCATTTCTGAGCTGTGGAACCCAGCTTACTTAGAAAAAAAAGAATAGAAGAAGACTCACAGCTGCATAAATGTATAGTGATAATTATCATATGGTGTTAACTATTAATGTCTCAAGTAAAGTCAAATTTAGGATTAATGGAATGAAAGCCTCATAGTGCCATAGGCTATTTTTACCTACACTGACAAAATATTTCAGTCCTCAATGAGAGCGAATCAAAAAAGCAGAATGAGTGACGTAAGAATTTTACACAGACGTGGAGGAAAATGTGCTTTGACTAAACCTGTCATGGACGATGACTGCACCCCGCATAGTTTCTTTTTCATAATAACATGTTTTGGCTAAAAGTGTAAAAGAGTAAGCAAAAGTTCCATTGAAATCTGATCATTGGGCAACAAACTCACCACACCTCTGGATTTATTTTTCCTCCATTTGTAGCCGTTATTGATGACAAAGCATATTGCATAACAGGTTGTGCCGGTGCTCTCCTTTGATGTCCTCAGAGATTCAGATTGGTTGTGATGGAGATAAGTGTGAACAAGGGGAACAGCCTTAGTAATGAGGCTTAGTAATGAAAGAGGAAGGAGGAGTTAGAGAAGCCTTTTAGCTTGACTTGTAGCTGCTTTTGAAGGGTCAGAGGGGCTTCAGATATATTTTCATACTTCAGCAGATTCCCCTAGATGTAACTCTTTGAAGATGAGCCAGTTTGGTCGGATTGAAAAGCATGTGATATTCTACATTTCCAAGTCCGTAAAATGCATTACAGGGATATGCAGCAACTGTATTTGATCTGACATCAGAAAAGCCATAGGAGCACTCTATGGATCCAGATCCAGATTTAGGTGTTTGTGTCTTCCTTACCTCGGTTTTCAAAACTGCAAAGTGAACAAGGGCACATTTCAATACGTGAAAGTGAAAGACTTAGATTTTTTTCTTTTTTTGAGATTTTGACAGCACTTATTGGGGAAGTATAGGGAGTGTGTGGTTGTAATGTCAGGTATTTAAGCACCATTGATCTATAATTTTGCTTCAGCTCTGTGGGAGGTAGGGAATTAGCACCATTTCAGTAGGAAAATCCCTCAATGATTAGCTGAGATGCACATGAGATGACAGAAAATGCCCAGATGTATTGGGATTTGCCGAGTCACCATGAACATTCAGAAACAAAATAGCAAACAGACAATTTGAAGCCATGCAAGCTGTGAGTTGCAGGTGAGTTCCTTGGTGAGGGTCGATCTCTGATCACTACCTGATGACCTGAAAAAAAAAAAAAAACATTATCGTGGAGGCAACATTGACATGAAAACAGCAACCAAAAACAGCATAAGATAGGAATACAAACATCCACTGCAGATACAGAACATTTTATGCAACCAGTCAATGAGACATTATCACTGGATAAAAACAGATGAAGCAACCTCTTCAACAGGCTTTTTTGCAGACACCTTCTTAAGTTTTACTGGCTGAACTTGCCTGACTGTGACCCAATTTCTTAACTCAATTAGAGTTTTGCTAACGTTAATACTGTCTAAATCCTCAGCTCTATCCATTGCATTGCATTATCAAAATGCCCATTGTGCAAAGGAGAGCTAAACTGTGCAACATAATGCCCTTGACTGCTTATTCCCTGTACTTACAAAAGGGTGCAGTGGTTGAGCTTGTTTTTACTGCTGTGAAAAAGAAACCCTGTGCTAATCAAAGCCTGAGCTTATTGTTCATGTTTCAGTTAAAGTTGAAAGCTCTTAATAGGTGTTCAAAGTCTGATTTTTTAAAATGTATTTACAGTAGCTTTTGCAGACATTCAAATAAGGAACTTTTATTTTGAAAAACTGAATTTGGTTTCACAAACTGTGACACAGCATAATTAATTAATTTAAAACAAATTACCTCCAGCATTGATGTAAATCAGACAGGAAGCCCTAGACAAAGAAAGTCCATAATGAAAAAGAGCTAATGTTGCTTAGCAACAGAAAAAAGGCAAAGTGATATCCGACCCCTTAAACAATGTGTGTCTTACCTGCCAACACGAATGGCAGCAGTGTATTTGTAGCATATGCAGCAAGATGCAGTCAGATTTGCAAGTCCCCTCCTAAACCAAATGTCTTCCAATAGCCTCTCCTTGCATTGGCTGGTCATGACTACCTGTAGCAGTAAAAATTATCTGTAAACACCAGCTGATTCACGACTGATCTGCATATCTGTGGATCGTGTGAGGAATCGACGGGGCGTCTTTTAGTTGAGCGTTTTTGAAATTCTGTACAGCAACATAGCTTTCAAACCTCAGTTATTCTAAAAATAACCAAGACTGTAAAAAGCTCTGCAAGCCTCCTGCCTCCTGTAAACGACAGAAATTTGAGCACACATGAATGAGCTTGAGCTCCACACACTGTAAATACCCTACGCACCATACAGTATAGCCTCACTTGCAATCTGATGTGCATACTATTGTACTGGGTTTTTTTTCGCCCTGTATCTAACACTTCTATGATCCCATGCTCCACCTCTATGCTTGGGAATTTGTAGACTTTCTCACTCTCCCTTCACTTATTTGTTTGAATTGTATGTGATCACAGAATTCAAAGCTCACTAGGGATCAAGTTAGTCAAAATAGACGCTTCCCTCCTCTGATCTCCCCTTACAGCTCTGCCTCACTAACTGTGTAGACTACAGTGCAGCAATCAAAGAGACTTAATCAAAGCTGTGATAGAATCTGGGGTCGCTATTTTTGTTGTGAACAATCCAAATCATTAGAGCTTGTGTGTGTGTGGGTGTGTAGTCATCTCGGGTGATTTGAGTGAGGCATAGCGGGAGCGGTCAACTGGTCAAGTTTCCTTCAGTCTTTTAAGAACATGTTTCAGTTCTTTAAGAAATTAAAGGGTCATGCGTGTTTTTGCAATTTTTCGCTTCTAACTAAAAATCATCTATGCTTAACATAATGCTGACCATTTTTAAATGCTGGCTTTACAGTTTTAGACTTTAAGATATTATTACAAATTTTTTCCAGGGCAAGCCATTTATTTTCTTTTATTTCTCTACAATATGAAAATCTGTTTGCAAAGTCCATCAGTGAACATTTACCTGCGTTAATTTGCATCATTATTCATAACTCTGCATTGCATTAGTGCAAAACTTTGTGAAATGGGTTCAATTCAAGCCTGCAGGCCCTTTGCTGCATGTCGACCCCTCTCTCTATCTTCAGCTGTGGCTATCAAATACAGGCATAAAGAGCCCAAAGAATATATTGAAAACAGGGTTTCAAGAGTATGCTGATAGATTTTCATGTTGCGAAAATTAATGGAAACCAAAGGATGCCTGGAATGGTGGTTAAACTACATCCAAATTTCTGAAACACAGCAGAATTGTTTGCAAAATGGTCACTTGTAATGTAAAGCAATTAAGTGAAATGACCTAAAACATGTGGAACCACTGGTATGATCCCAGTGATTCCACAACACCATCACCAGTCTGAAAAGCAGTGTTTTTACTGCCCTCTCTGACTGAAAGTTGCACGTCTCCTTCCTCTGACAACATGCAGCATCAGTAGTATGAGAGCAGTCAGACGTTTTCTTTGTCACACCTGTAACCACAGCCAACTGTGATGTCACATTGTACTTACACACCCTGGAGTACACTGGTACATCACTGCAGCAAGGTGAGCAGTTAAACCACTGGAGGTCGGCAAAAACAAGCTTTTTTAGGGGGTTATAAGTTGCTCTTAAAGTTCTTTAGACTCTCCTCTTTTTGGTCCTAGGTAGTATGAACTGTCTGCTGGCTGTCAATGACAGAAATGTTTGTGACAAAATTATTTATTTTCATCGTAAATATAATAAGTAAAGATTCTTGGTCACCAAAGTTTAAAAGCTCATGTCATCTGTTTCGTTTCAACTCATCATTACAATATGGGCCAGTGGTTTGTGCCAGGCAATTGAATGGCATTTATAAATCTTGTTTTGCAATATTTTTGTGTAAAAACTGGGCCAGAAAACAACAAAAGTACAGGGTCTACAACTAAATTATGTCTGTTTATTTAAAGCCGGTATCAGTGGTTTATTTTAAATGATGAGAAGAAGGGGATTGCTGCACACTGGATTGACTTGTGCAAACCAAAGAAACTTTTTGAACTCTGTGGTTTTTTGTGATTTGCACAAAAAGAGCCCTAAAAGGAGCATGTTTCTTGCATCTTCTTATTTGTCAGTGTTATCTAGAACTTGGTGAGGATGTCTGGATATGCTTATACTTTGTACAAGTTCTCATGTGAAGACAAGACAGGTTAAAAGCAACATAAGGATCGTCTCAGCATTCATCCAACAGACCGGAGCTCATGGTGTTGCTCACATGTTGTTACTGTCTGTTATTATTTCACTGCCGTGTCAATAGGCAGCAGTAGCACTACAATGGAACTGACCAACTGTTCTGCTCTCAGACTAAAGCCCTTGTACTTTCTTTTGATGGTTTGAACCAAAAACATTCCTTTTGTATTGTTTGTTGTTTCAGCCATTTTAAAAAGGCGGCTATGCTCCTGTGCCATACCATTTTCACACGTATGTATGTATACATTGTTTGAATGCTATACTCGTCAGCTTTCCTTGTTTGTCACAAAGGAAACCAAAACAAACTTTTTTTCACCACCTTTAAAGCTAGACAAACAAGACTGGTATGTTTTTATCTACTATAGCAGACGCTTCACAGATTCAGTTTGTTTTTTCTCTCCAGTATCTTGCACTTAACACATGTAGCAATACCTACAGGATGGGGAAATTGTGTGATTCACCAGTATTTGTTTAAGTGGAATATGACATTTTATTTCTAGATATTGTTTGACTTTGTATAAAAAAAATATATACTGTACAGATTCAAAAGTATATTATAACAAAAAACTTTTAGAAAAATATTTATTTTTACTGTTTTGTAATTTAGACACAATACTGTAGCTCCTCTATTGCCAGACTTACTGGAAGTGCCTCTCGATAATGTATTACAAAGTAACTATACAATATATTGGGATTATTAGACCATGTCACTAGCAGACCAGTGTTGATGTTGTAATGTGAATATTGTTGAATAATAAGATTTATAAATGCTGCACACGTGTCTGTCTTGTTCTTTAGTTTTTTTCTCCAGCAACTCATAGGAGGCATTTCAGTTAGCCTTTACATTTAACAAATTAACATACAATTATGTTCAAATTGTAATTAGATATCACCGTACAATATGAGGTTGACTTCATATGAGTTGCAATTGTTGCAATAGGATTGATCATATATATCCAACATGTACTCTATTGCTTCATTAAAGTATAATTTTCAGTGCTGTTGGTCCATAATTAGTCAACTTGATACATACAATAATGCCAATCCTAACTAACATAAAGCACAGCTTTGCCTATTTAACTGTGCTTCTGACCATATCTATGTGCTGATGACTTTGTAATACATAATGCTGCTAGATGTTCATGTTCTTTCAGCCGGCTGAATCTTGTGGTTACCGTGCAATATGTGTAATGGAAGCGCAATACAGTAACACTGGTCTACAGACTAATAACAGAGCTGTAAGTTTCAACAAAAGCAAAACATATATTGTCTTTACATTCCTATACAAATTCTCTGTTACAGGGGGGATGGAACCAATCAGCTGTACATGTGGCAGAGCACAGGACACACCTCAGGCAATATTCTGTCTGTCAAAAGGGATTTACCCAAAAGTTGTTTTAAAAATTTAAAATAAAAAAAAACCCAAACTTAAATTTTATTAAAAAAAAAAAAAAAAAAAAAAAAAAAAAAAAAAAAAAAAAAAAAAAAAAAAAAAAAAAAACCAGATTTTTTTTTTGGATA